GGTTTCTGAGAAGAACCTGCTGGACTGTATTTTTATAGAGGTGAATAACATATTTTGCTGACTGTATTGAAAATGAACATGATGATGATAAATACGCTTGAAGTCGATCTAATACACATTGGAAACCGTTAATTTTATATTGGTTGCACGAAATAGCCTTAACATACTTATACTATATATACTATTATTATTCTTACGTTTGTGTAGCGTAAACGTACTGTATGCTATGTTTAGTGTATCATAGAGTATATATACTTATTCCGCACATATTTATATTCAGGCCTATGGCGTCGGAAAGGCATGCACATTCTGCGGTGGCAGCTTTACGAAGATGAACACTGAGCACTGGGAGGGTGGTCGTGGTTGTCGAAATCACGCCACAATGAGCGCGAAAGACAAGCAGAAGTTTGCGGGAATGAGTAAAACAGTCTCAAGGCGGGCGCAGAATCAGAATCAGATAAAGAAATCGCACAAAGCTTGATATCGTGTTGTTTTCTGTACTTTACTTGTATTCGCGTGTATTTGACAAAAGTCAAATGATTTGCACGCAATGATTTTCGAAATCACTGGCCAGCTAAATCGATTATGGTTGCTAACATTTACCTTACTGTCACTGATTATTTTTCGGTTTCATTCCTAAATTATGGAAATACGATATTCTCGATTTTGTGGTGTCAGTATCGAGGCGCGGTCGCGCACCGCCGACTGCATCCAAGTATTGCGGCCAGCTAAACCGGCATCTGTTATGTGTTAGCTGCTAAAGTTTCAGGGCCAGACTGACGGTATTGCTTTGCGGTTGTGGCGAGTTGACTACTGGACAGGTTAGATCTGGTCGGTATGGCGAGTACACCCCACCATTAAACACTTGCTGATATTCAGGTTGCTACAAAGAATTTTAAGTTTGACGGCGAAGGACAAGAATACGCTATGCTGGGACTATTAGACAAGACTAGGCGACATGCCTCAACACTGCCAGCCGAATGCCAAACATTTGTTAGAAAAAATGAAACATTTCTCACTATTATTACAATCACTGTGGCCCCGTGCGCGAGGGCTGTAATCACCCTTCAGAGTTTGAAATGCCGCATGGCATTTTGTAATTCTAATTGATTACTAGCTTAGGTAAGAGCTGTATTTTATTTTTTGGCAGCTCGCTCGACCGACAGGGAATTGACGCTAAATAGGTACAACAGGCGCAGTCCATGTGTACGGTAGCAAAACAAATCCAGTCAGGAACTTTACAGTCAATGGAAAAGTGACAGGAGGTTTGCGTCAACAGCTAACGAGTCCATAAGCGAGCAAATGATGAATGGCACCACTGACTTGCGGTAGGTCTGAGTTCTAGATAAGATGAGGATATAGTTTGATCGAGTTTCCTGTTTTCTTGACTGGCTGCGTTCCGGGCTGTCGTACAACGAATGAACAAAACTAAGAAAATTTTCTATATAAGTGATTTTGTTGCTATTGCGACCTGCTTTAATGTTTTTTGGCGACCCGCCGGAAAGTGTCTAAGTAGTGGAAATTCGCTCTAAGCAGGGATGTAAAACTTCAAATTCGGTTGAGTTTACTGTAAAGGACTACCAGTCATGCTGTATGGTCCAGAGGATTCGGTCTACATTAAGAACGAATTTTGGATTGTTAAGAGATGAAATGAGGTACTCTTGCAAAGGAATCCCAGTTTACACATCGCAACCTAGTGTCATTTCTTATCGCTGAACCTTCTTTCGTAACCAGTTTTCGTCAGGCTACCGTTTCTCTGGATTTGGCAGCATGGTTTTTTTGGTCGTGGCGGTAGAAGCTTTTCATATCACGGAATTTTCAGAAGTTCCGTTATTTTTCAGCCGACTTTCTCACTGATGAAATTGCGCAACTCTCTTGCACTGCGGGGTCACATTGTCTGCAGATTTTCCACTGGTGGAAACTCATGAACCTTCTCAATGGTATTTGACTTAGCCGTGACAAAGATCGAATCAATCGGCTGCTCAGCCGATGAGGGATTAAATGAAGTTCGTGAAGGAATGAGGTTATGCCAGTTGAACGCGTCAAAATTCATAATCGGTTCCTTGCACCGGAACTTTCAGGTACCTGTCTGGAGTTTGGTTACGACTTCTTGGGATTTTACAGCATGACTGTACAATGGTGGTATATACCTTTGACATCGCAGTGCTTTCGCTGACGTATTGTGCGTATTGTGTAATAACTTGTACGAAATTCTGTGTAAACTACCGAATCTTTAATGAAAATCCGAGAATGCTGAATTCCGTGACACCATACTGTAATCATCTTCCATGACCGCTTCTCCTTTCGGATTGCGGAGAGAGACGTCACACAGTGCTTCAAACGTTCCGATCCTGTGCCAGAATCTGAGCTTCTGCAGAAGACAACCGGAGTCTCGAACATACTCCTTCTATATATTTGCACCAGGTTAATTTTGGCTGTCCCCTGGGCCTTCTGCCGGTCGGATTTGCAAGCAACAGTTGCTTAGCCCCCCTTTATGGAGGCATTCGCAACACATGCCCAAGCCATCGCAGCTGTGACTTCTCAGTCTGGAGAAGCAAAGGCTGTAATCTAAGGCTCTTCCGGATGTCACTCTTCCGGACCATGTCGAGACGCGTAAGGCCAGCGACTCGTCTAAGAAAG